TGAATAAGGTAGTTACATTACACATCAAGGATTTTCTCTAGGACAACCCCAATTTCAAATATTATGTCTTACTGTCCCTATAAATCATTGAAATATCCAGGATATCCCTATATGTATCAAGAAAAGTTCATTTTTAGCACCTTAAAATGGAACAAAAATTATTTGTCAGAATATGTCCTAATATTTTTGGTCTGAAAATATGGTCACCGCCTCTTTAACTATATCCTATACCATTGCTAAAAATGGAAGGATGCTCTGTGTAAAGTAGACTTAAGAACAGTCATTGTACATTCATTATCTCATTTAATCCTTACAACAACCCATGGGTGGGTAGGTTTCTAATATTATTATCATTTTTTCCAATGCTAGGAAATTGAGGTTTGTTTTGTCAAATAATATTTCTTATCCACTCATGTTATTACATTACTCCCCAAAACATTTAATTGATCTTCATTTCTTTTCTCATCTAAATAATGCCCTGTCTGACCTTCAAGATCTCTGTAGTTTGTCTTACTCATATCAGCTTTGCTTCTTAAACTTTATTTCACAGAAGCCTGGATCTTTTTCTATCCTGAGCCAAATCCATGGTCAAGCCAACCAGCATTTGGATGCCAACAGCAATATTGCTAAAAGCAGTCCTACTTGACCTTGTTCTTTTTTAAGTAGTAGCTTTTGGCTCTGTTATTAGCAAATTTTCCAAACTGGCTTATATATCATGCTAGTACCACCTCTTGGAAGTCATGAGTTCCACTGTTTATTATTTAACAAATAAATAGATACCTCTGGATTTATCCTAACTAAGCCATGTTCACATTTCAAAGATTTTCTCCAAGTTCACATCATAGTCCACAATACTAGAGACACACAGCTCATTTACACACTGGCATGCTGTGTTCCCTAAAGTTTTGCAACATGGTCCCCTGATTTGGGGATCTGATATACTCACGTGGGTTCACCCTACCCCTGTCTCATATAAATGTATAAAAATAGTCGTCTATTCAGAGTGAAGTGTCAGAATACCCCACACCATTTTCATTTTGTATTTGTCTTCCCTACTTCTTATTTCATTATAGCACTCCTATGATTCAGGGACTCAAAACATACAAACAAGCGTTCTGAGGGGCAAATGCACCATAGTTTTCATACAAGATCACCGCTATGTTTCTCTCCAGTTTCCATGATCATTCATGATAATATCTGACATTGCACTGATTTTTTTCCAACACAAAACAGGGCTGATGGCCTTCACAGTTAGCTGTGGCATAACAACCAGAGGGCAGATGAAACTCTAGTGAAGGCCTATCTTTGACTAATTATGGGATCCTTGGAATATCAAAAACCCAATAAAACCTTACGTATTGTATTGGAATTGTGCTGAATAATGGGATACAGAAATAAATAAGTCCCACATCCTACCTTTATCAAGCTCACAAGCTAGTGGAAAAGATTAACAGGAAAATCAGTGGTTAAAATAGGGTATGATAAGTGTCAAGAAGTCTGCACTAGATATAGAACAGAAGAAAAATTCCTAGACGAAGCATCTGACTAGACAACTAACTAATAAGAGGCGGTCAGAAAAAACTTTCCAAAGAGTGAAGATATTTTAACTGAGACTTGGGGAAGCCTGGTTTCTTCATTGTTGTATTCCCAGCCCCAGAATAGTGCCAGGTACAGGGTAGGTACTCAATAAGCATATGTTTACTGATGAGAGTAAGGTGGAATTCCATGTGGCTAGAAGGGTTTAGACAAAGGTGTGGAGGTGCCAGAAGCATGAGTTTAGGGAACTGTGAGTAATTACAGAATGCAAGAGTGGACAAGGGGAAGTGGTTGGGCCTAAGGCTGGAAATATAGCCCGAGACCAGAATACAAAAGGACTGGGTTTTTTGAACTTTATCTTGAGGACAATAGGAAGCCACCAGAGAATTTAAGCACTAGAGTCACACAATCAGTGTTAGCTGATGTGCCAGTTATCAATTACTGCCACTCAGTTCAAAATACACCCTGCATAAAGGGCCTAAGTCTTTTAAATATGTGGTCTTTGCTGGCTATCATGATACAATTTACAAGTATAGGGCATGGGAGGGACACTGGAGGAGGAAGGGGTTTCTCTTGGGATTTAGGTGTGCTCTTCTTGGGAGGCTCCAGGAACTTGGAGTTTCTCTTGTGCTGGGATCCTACAGTGCACTTCTTATCCCACATCTGGTTCATACAGTATGTGATCTCTTGAGTATCCAACTGCTGCAGTACACAGCAGCCATCGGTGTCTAGTGGCTAGCAGCTTTCCCTGGCATCTCTCTTGGGAAGTCTTGCAGCACAGTCAGTGCTGCCAGTGAGTTATCTTTTTGTGAATGGCTTTCTAGCATCCCAGAGAGTGGATTCTGCTGCCTGGCATCTCAGTAATTTCTCTACCCTCCAGAGAGCTGTGGCCTTACCCCCTGTACCAAGTTCTGGAAGAAGTCTCTTCTTTAGGTGATCTATCTCAAAGGTAGTGGTTGTTCCTTGTATCTGTGATTCTTATACGAGGGGGGACCCCCCAAAACCCCATAATTATCTTTTGGAGGACAAGCCCTTTGTAGCACAGGCTTCCCCCACTAGGTGAGTATTCTAGGAACCTATCAGCATTGGTGTACCAGCTAGCATTGTTGTAAGAGGCTGTGTTTGGCTTCAGTAAGTTTTTTTTTTTTTTTGGAGATTCTTTCAACACATTTGCCCATTTCATGAAGGTGATTTATGAGTGCACCTGCCCACACCACACTGAGTGTTCAACAGTTTTTGACCTGAAACAACATGACCCTTATGCCCCACTCTCCCTATTCACCCAATCTCACTCTGAGCAACTTTTTTTGTTTGTTTCTTGAATGAAAAAAGTCCTCAAAGGAAAGTATCTTGCCAATATGGAAGAGATGAAAACAAAAAATGTTAGAAGCACTAAAAGGCATCAAAATTGACAAGTTCAAAAACTGTTTTGAACAGTGAAAAAAGCGTCTTGATAGGTATATTGCAAAAAATGGAGAGTACTTTGAAGTGACTGAAGTTTAAACATGTAAGAATTAACACAATTTATTATAAATTCTGGGTTTTTTTGGGTCCCCCTCATATATTACAGATCTTTCCTTATATCTTACTAGCAAATCTTCCATTACTTCAATCCCATTATTGTTGCAATCTTTCTCTTTTTTAGAAATAAGGTCACACTCTGTCACCCAGGCTGGACTGCAGTGGCATGATTATAGCTCACTGCAGCCTCTAACTCCCAGGCTCAAGGGATCCTCCAAGCCTTGGCCTCCAAAGGATTACAGGAATGAGTCATCACATCTGGTCTTTAAAAATATTGAACTTTTCTTCTTAAGATTACTAAATGCTCAAGAACTACTACATGATATTTTTTTCTCTTTGTTGGACTTTTCTCTTTGTTGAAGCACAGATTGGAAGCTGTGTGGATAGGCTGAAGTGAGTGAGTGGGGCAAAGCAGATTAGGAGAATATAGCAGCACTTTGACAACAATTCTCAAGAGCTTCAGTGCCTTGGAAAGTGATTGCAATAGGGAGGGATAGGAGAGACTGGTATTTAGGCAATAGAAATAGGACTTGGTAGGAGACTCTTCAGGACTAGAGGAGGAGGAGGAGGAGAAGGAAGAAGGGGAGAGTGTAAAGGAGAGAAGAATCTAGAGTGACTATCAGTTCTCAAGCTTGGATGACTGGGTGTAAATGTGGTACCACTGTAGAAATGGTACCATTGTGGAAATAGAGAATACTGAAGGAAGGTCAGATCAAATTCTCCTCCCATGTTCTCTTTTACTCAGAGTTCCATGGATTCTTAAGTCACAAAGACTTGGAATCATAGACTCCTTGAGTTGGAGAGGCACCAAAGTCCAACTTTTCTGCCTTCGGGTAATATGGGTCATTTGTTCACATCAGATAAAAGAAGTAGGGAAATAACCATTCTATCTTAACATTCCTCAATTCTAACGTTTTATAAAGTGCCTTTTTATTTTTAAAGCTCTCAGTGTGGTAGGCCTTTTTCAGAGCCCACCTCCACCCTCAACTCTTACAATTCAATAAATTTCCTTTTAAGTGAAACTTATATGCCTCCCAATGTGGAATGGCAGGCCAACACATACCTGCTAAATGCTGAAGAATACAGGTTTTATCAAATATAGACTACAGGCTTGTTTCTGGAATTTCTCATTTAGTTTTATTGGTATGGGTTAAATAGGGCTTCAGTTATATAAATGAAAGCCTTCAGTTACATGAATGAAAAGCTCCAGTTACATGAATGAAAGGCTCCAGATGTCAGAATCTCAGAGGAAGTTTCTATGAACAGTTCTTGGAACTAAGCACCAGGCAACTATATATACTTGCTTGGGTTTGGAATTGGAGGTGGTGGGTTTTGGACACGTGGTTACTCTTGCTTGGAAAGTACTCTCCCCCTCTCCTAGCCTGTTCACAGGAGAATTCTTCCTCCAGAGGTCTGCTCAACCTTTCTCCATCTCCTGTCAGTTCCATTATTATCTTATAGAGCACCACTTACCCATCTCTGACGTGTGCCTCTCCCAATAGACTGTAAACTCCAGGGAAGGGAAGGTCGGTTTTTCTCACTACAGAATTCCAGTGCCTGGAACTTAGTGCTCAATAGATGTTAGAAAAAAATGAATGATAGCAGTTTATAAAGTGCTAATCATGCCCACTGATTCTCATGACAATCCCCCCAACGGTATTCTTATATCTTATTCTTATAATGGTGTTCTGATAACATATTCTTATATACAAAGACGAAAGAGCACAGGTCTGGCTCTTCAGTAGGGGAATTTGGTTCCGGATCCTTTTGTTCCAAATCATAAAATACTAGTTCTGGGTACAAAACACACACACACACACAATTTGGCCAGAAAGCGATAGTTCCCCGTGGTCACATTCTCCTAAAGATCACCATGCCTTCCTCTTGCTCTGTGAACAAGGAGGGGCGATCCCCTCCCTCTACGTCCCCTGTGGGGTTGCTACCTCGGGCTCGCTCCTAAACGCGCTGTCTGGCTTCAGGCGACACCTGGCACCTGGCCTCAGGAGGGAGGTGTGAGGAGAGATCCAGTGCCTCGCACCGTTGGAGAGGGAGAGCAGCAGAATCTAGGCGGGAAAGGAGCCGGGGAGGGCAGCCCCGGCGGGGCGCGACCGGGCTTTGTTAGCGCTCCGCCTTCGCCGGGCAACCGGGAAATGGGCTCCGCGGCCTGGTCACCGCGGGGGCGGGGCGGGGCGGGGCG